GCGTGTTAAGGGGCCAGAGAAAGAGGAGAGTGACGACGGAGATGTTGGGGTTAAATGTACACGTAGGGATGGAAGGGTATAGAGCGAGTCAAGCATTGGTAACGACGGAGGGTATGAGTGAATATGTAGACGCTTGGTTTAAGTCATATACGCAAAGCGTGGTCATCCGTGAAGTGGCATTGGAGGGAAATGGTAGGTTATGTGCAGTGTGAGCTTGATGGTCAAGATCGAGAGGCATTAGGTTGGCCGATTACGGAATGTGAGATTTGGCAGGCATTGTCAGGGGTGAGCTTGGGAAAGGCGCTGGGTGTAGATGGGCTGCCAAATGATTTTTGCATAAAGAATTGGGGAGTTCTGAGGGGTTTTTTTTAGTAAGGTTGTTTAACATACTTAAGGTGGCTGCGGTAATGGGAGAGCAGCAATGGACGGCCATTGTGGTGTTGGTACCGAAAGGGGAGCAGTCAACGGTAATGGATTATCGGGCTCTTTCACTTATGTGTGGAGATTATAAATTGTTCGCGAGAATATTAGGGAACAGAATCAAGAGAGCGATAGGCAAGGTAATTGATAGGGCGCAATATGGGGTGCCAGGAAGGTCAATGTATGAAGGGCATGGCATGATTCGAGAATTTATAGAGAAACGGGGGGAGTTGGGTGATGGGGGTGTATTGGCGTTAGATTGAAAGGCTGCTTATGATAGTGTGGAAAGGGAAGTGTTATGGAGGTTCATGCATTGGTAAGGTTTAGGGGAAGAAATAGTATCTTGGGCAAAATTATTGTATCAGGAGGCGTCGATGAGGGTGCAGGTTAACGAGAGGCTAGGAGTTAAATACAGATGCGACGGGGACTGTGCCAAGGTTGCCCACTATCGCAAATATTGTTTGCATGTATACAGGATCCATTTTATAGGGCCATTCGGAGGTGAGTTGCGGGAGGTGGGGAGGGTAATGAACGGGGGGAGGGGGGCTGGTATCGTAGGTTATGTGGATGACACGACTGTTTTGGTGAGAGGTAATAGGGGCTTGCTTAGTGTGGGTAATGTGGTGGATATGTATGGGGAGGCTTCAGGAATGAAAATTAATGTTGAGAAGACTAAGTTTCTGGACCTAAGGGATAATACACATGGGGATCAGGTGGTAGGGGGTGGGTGGAGTGTGGTGGATCAACTATTGATATGTGGGATAGTTTATGTGAGAGATACACGGGTGGCTCAAAGGTGAATTTGGGCAAGTGAGATTGAAAAGACTTGGTGGTTTGAGGGCGGTGCAACTAAGGCTGCATCAAATAGTAATAGTGGCGAACGTGCTATTGTAAAGCAAGTTATGGCATGTAGTTGTCATGTACCCACTGATGCGACATGCGGTAAAACGTTTACAACATGGGGTTTTTAGGTTTATATGGGGTTCGGGTTGCGAATGGTTAAGTAGAGTGGTGTTAACACTTCCGGTCAGTCGGGGAGGGCTGGGGACTTATACCTCTGGGAAAAAGGATGATGAGGGTGTACCTAAAACCAAGTTTTATAAGGGAGGGGGGATGGGTTGGGAGGTGGACTTTTGAGAGTACGGAAGGATATATAACGGTGGTGGGGGGGGTAGGGATTTAATAGTTGGTGAGGCCATGTTGAGGTTATTAATGACAGTGAGGGATCCGTCGTGTGTTAAATTGCGGGTCCTCGAAGGAGTGGAAGGTAGGTCAGTGGTGGCTGCTGTTGAAGGAGCATACCCTATGTATGCGTGGAGCGAAATACGGACGCGTCTAAAACAATTACGTGTAAAACCGGGTGTTCGGGAGGTAATGTTTAGATTTTTACATGGGTTTTTGCCTTTGGGGTTGTCCTATTCAATAGGGGGAAAAGGGAGGGAGGGGAAGTAGAGAGGGGGAAGAATGGAGACAATTTTTCATGGGTAATTTTTGTGACTGTATAAAAGTTGTGCGAGTCGGGTTAGGAGAGGTTTTTGGGTTTAGTGGGGGGGGGAGGGTTGCGGGTGTTGCGGGTTTTTATTTTGGATAAAGTGGGGGGGTAAGTTTGGTGGAAAAAGCAGGGCGTTTTTGGCCCACGGATTTTAATATACGTCAGGGGCCCATGGGGGAGGGGGGCGTGGATGAGGGATAAAGGGTTGTTAGCGCGACATTTTACAGAACTAAGTGTAAAAAGGGGAAATTTACGGGGGGATTTGGGAGACTGCTTTTACTGAGGGCTATCGGAGTTTTAGGTTGAGGGATTTATGGGATTTACGCGTAATGTAAGGGGTTGCGGCGGGCTGGCTTCCCGATAAGGATAGTGTGAAAGGGTTTAGTGTGGAAGAGAATGAATATAGCACTAAGACATAAGTGCCTTTGACTGTGTGATGAGCGGGTTGTGTGTTGTGAACGATACAAGTTCTTCAATTTAATTATTAATTATGCAATTGATAAAGGACGACAGATGTCGTAATGTGATGGAATATTATATATATGAAACGAAATTATTGGTTATGTGTATAATGAAAGGAAAATGTTGGTGCAGTGTGTGAATGTAAAATCTATATATAAACAAGAGTTATTGAGAGTGGTAGGAAGACATCAGTAGTTATGGAAGTGGGAAGGTCATGCACTGTTATGTCTTATGTAAAAAGAATTACATCTTAGTAGTGGTTTTAATGAATGGTTGAACTATATTTAGGAAAGCTTGACTCACCTTGTGTTTTTATTATATATTGTTTTTTATGGGAGCTCTATAGAGCCCGTAGGTTTAGGTTACCTTTAAGATGACATATTGTATGGTATTTGATGGATGACATAGGATTAGGTTTTTGTTTGTTTTACTGGTTGTGTTGTAAAGTGTATGCTTCATAAGTATATATATATTCCTCCCTCTAGAAGGTGATATGTTTGGGAGTCTAGTAGATATACGTTGTACGTGAATCATGTAGAATTGATTTTTGTTTTATCTCAATATATTGAGTTATACTGAATGTATCACGTTGTTCAGTATGGAATAATGCAAGAATTTCATACAATATAAAGTTAGATATAAAGATTGTTACGTGTCAGGTGGCGTGACACGCAAAAAGGAGGGGTGGGGGGGGGGTGTTTTCTGAATGTAAGGTGTACATTCCGTGGCAGGATGTGCAATGTAAGGTGTACATTCCGTGGCAGGATGTACAATGTAAGGTGTACATTCCGTGGCAGGATGTACAATGTAAGGTGTACATTCCGTGGCAGGATGTACAATGTAAGGTGTACATTCCGTGGCAGGATGTACAATGTAAGGTGTACATTCCGTGGCTGGATGTACAATCAGGATTTAGATGTACCTGCCAAGAGGTCTTTAGGTTAGATGTAGTGTTCCAGGCATAATGTCATTACTCCAAGGATTGGAATGGTCATTGTTTATTGTACAGATTTGTGTCTTTCAGGTGTACCATATCAATTGGAAATTACATGTACTATGCAGAATTTTGCAACATATATTGTAAAACTTATTGTTGTAATTGAGGTGTGTATTGATTTCTTTCATTTTTTTCACCATTGTTTTCGCTATGTATTTGTCGCTTGCTTTTATGTACTATGTATGTCTTTTAAATAAAATATAAAAAAAAAATATTATTTCTGGAATTTTGGTAGAATCTTCCTGAGGAAAAACAGAGAGGACGTAGGTATCAAAAAGTTCACATATTTCCTTATGACTATCAGTGATCTCACCTGAGTTACTCTTAAGTGGGTCTATCTTGTCCCTACTCTTACTTCCGTGTACCTGAAAAAACTCTTTTGGGTTAGTCTTCGAATCCCTTGCAACCTTAGCCTCACAATCCCTTTTTGCTTCTCTTATTCCTTTTTTTTATTTCACTCTTTAATCGAATACATTGTTTTCTTAACTGTCCATCCCCTCCTTTGATACGCCTATATATGCCTCTCTTTTGACCAATGAGATGTTTCACGCTATTGTTTATCCATTTGGGATAATTGTTAGATTAATTTCACTACTCGTGACAAAAGTCGTCTGGGCATCCAGCACTATGCTCTGAAATAAGTCATATCGGCAACCAACTCTACCTACCTGACTCATAGTCATGTCATCCCAATTTAGCCCACCCAGGTAATTTCTCATACCCATGAAGTCGGGCAAGCAGAAATCTTGGACAGAGACTTGATTGCAGTTATCTGGGTAATTCCATGATATATTGAAACTAAGAGATTTGTGATCACTTTCCCTTAGCTCATCATTAACCTCAAGATTATTAACTAGTGATTCTTTGTTGGCAAGAACCAAGTCAAGCAGATTGTTTCCTCTAGTTCGTTCGGTCACAAACTGTTTTAAAAAGAAGTCTTGAGCCGTATCAAGAGTCACATTGTTCCAGTCAATTTGTCTAAATTGAAAATTTCCCATTAACATAGCATTTTCATACCTAGATGCCTTATAAATTTCGTCCCATAGTAGCTTACTGCACTCCCTATCAAGGTTTGGGGCCTATAAATCACACCCAAAATTAATTTTTCACGACCTTTGAGAAAGCAGCCAAGGAGATTCAGCGTCCGATGTCTAACATAACAATCTAAATTATCTATGACATATAGCGCCACTCCACCACCCTTCCTGTTGACTCTATCAGTGTGGAAGAGTTTATAACCCTGTATGTTGCATTCAGAATGCATTTCCAAATAAAAAGATATTATTATTATTATTACTCTTATTAGTATTAGTGAACATGTACTTGTAGAAATAAACATTATTATTATAATTATTGTTATAACGTTCCAAGTTATCAGGAGATCGAAGCGCCAGTTCTCCAATGTGTTATCCGAGGCCGCTACTAACTGAGCCACGAGGAAACACCATCACACATAAAGAAGCCCAGTGGAAATAACTTTGTCTGACTTTTCTGTGTTATCCTAGCTTCTCTACACATATGCTGCTATGTATGATAATATTTGTAACTGTAGTTGTGTATACCTGAATAAACTTACACCCTCGTGTAAACCTCGCGTTATTCTCCATTAATAACAACGTTAATTTCCAGAGTGACAGACGAGAGTTAAGATGATTGTTGAAGTGTTGCTGTTAGTGTTCCTGGTTCTCCTAATTGTATATTACTTCCACCAGCATCCTGCCAAGAATCTTCCTCCTGGTATGTATACATAATGCATATATATGTCCTGCCATATAGGTCAAACTTGCGATTTTGGTTTAAATAGCAACGCTCTTCTTACCAAATATGGCAAGCGAAAATTTGTGTATGCAATAATTTCGCAAAAATCATTCTGAACCTAACGAAAAAATAAATATTTCATTCTGTTTATTATTAAATTATTGAAAACTTATCTATAATATATTTAGCTGGATTAGGCTAAATTAAATCGCGCTTGTTATAATACAGTTAGGTAAGTTTTCTAAGGTTCTTTTGATACAAAATTATTAATTTTTACGTTAACATAAATGAAAAATATATCTTTAAGCGTATAAAGGAAAATTATATACATATATATATGTATATATACATATATATATTGTTCCAGACATGATGATGTAGGCCAGTAAAGAACTGTTCCAGCCACGATGTTGTAGGCGAGTTAAGAATTGTTCCAACCACGATGTTGTAGGAGAGTTAAGAATTGTTCCAACCACGATGATGTAGGCCAGTTAAGAATTGTTCCAGTCACGATGTTGTAGGAGAGTTAAGAATTGTTCCAACCACGATGATGTAGGCCAGTTAAGAATTGTTCCAGCCACGATGTTGTAGGCCAGTTAAGAATTGTTCCAGCCATGATATTGTAGGCCAGTTAAGAATTGTTCCAGCCATGATATTGTAGGCCAGTTAAGAATTGTTCCAGCCATGATATTGTAGGCCAGTTAAGAACTGTTCCAGCCACGATGTTGTAGGCCAGTTAAGAATTGTTCCAGCCATGATATTGTAGGCCAGTTAAGAATTGTTCCAGCCATGATATTGTAGGCCAGTTAAGAACGGTTCCAGCCATGATGTACGACAGTTAAGAATTGTTCCAGCCATGATGTTGTAGGCCAGTTAAGAATTGTTCCAGACATGATGTTGTAGGCCATTTAAGAATTGTTCCAACCATGATGTTGTAGGCCAGTTAAGAATTGTTCCAGCCACGATGTTGTAGGCCAGTTAAGAATTGTTCCAGACATGATGTTGTAGGCCAGTTAAGAATTGTTCCAGACATGATGTAGGCCAGTTAAGAATTGTTCCAACCATGATGTTGTAGGCCAGTTAAGAACTGTTCCAGACATGATGTTGTAGGCCAGTTAAGAATTGTTCCAACCATGATGTTGTAGGCCAGTTAAGAACTGTTCCAGACATGATGTTGTAGGCCAGTTAAGAATTGTTCCAACCATGATGTTGTAGGTCAGTTAAGAATTGTTCCAGACATGATGTTGTAGGCCAGTTAAGAATTGTTCCAGCCACGATGTTGTAGGCCAGTTAAGAACTGTTCCATGATGTTGTAGGCCAGTTAAGAATTGTTCCAGCCACGATGTTGTAGGCCAGTTAAGAACTGTTCCAGACATGATGTTGTTGGCCAGTTAAGAATTGTTCCAGCCATGATGTTGTAGGCCAGTTAAGAATTGTTCCAACCATGATGTTGTAGGCCAGTTAAGAATTGTTCGAGACATGATGTTGTAGGCCAGTTAAGAATTGTTCCAGACATCATGATGTAGGCCAGTTAAGAATTGTTCCAACCATGATGTTGTAGGTCAGTTAAGAATTGTTCCAACCATGATGTTGTAGGCCAGTTAAGAATTGTTCCAGACATGATGTTGTAGGCCAGTTAAGAATTGTTCCAGACATGATGTTGTAGGCCAGTTAAGAATTGTTCCAACCATGATGTTGTAGGCCAGTTAAGAATTGTTCCAACCATGATGTTGTAGGCCAGTTAAGAATTGTTCCAACCATGATGTTGTAGGCCAGTTAAGAATTGTTCCAGACATGATGTTGTAGGCCAGTTAAGAATTGTTCCAGCCATGATGTAGGCCAGTTAAGAATTGTTCCAACCATGATGTTGTAGGCCAGTCAAGAATTGTTCCAGACATGATGTTGTAGGCCAGTTAAGAATTGTTCCAACCATGATGTTGTAGGCCAGTTAAAAATTGTTCCAGACATGATGTTGTAGGCCAGTTAAGAATTGTTCCAGGCATTTACTGTGATTTTTACTCATCTACTCCAGTATATATATAAGATACATACACAATAAGATCACAGTAAACATGTGATATCAAGATATGTAAAATAATCACAGTGAAATTCGAAGCGCATTCGTGATTTCTCACATTATTAAGGAAATATATAATATATATGTATGTAATGTAATATATGATGGCTTTCAGGACCCTTGAGTTTGCCTATCATTGGGAACCTAAAACGTGTTATAGTGCCAGAGGATGTTCGTAAACTCCGTAAGAGATATGGCGATATCTTTAGGTGAGTACGCAGCTTCATGTTAATGTACTACAATATATGTTAATATTATGATTTGTTGGGATTTTAAACCCGGATTGTTAATCTCCCAGAATAACACCAAGAAACTTAGCGCGTCATCGAGGACTGTGTTATTTCCATTGTCTCCCAGGATGCCACCGACACCAGTCCACTAACACCTAGGTACCTACTTACTGCTAGGTGAACAGGGACAACAGGTGCAAGGAAACATACCCAACGTTTCCACCCGTCCCGCTGGTTGAACCACAGACACTCAGTGTACGAGAAGAGTGTGTTACCTACTGAGCCAGATTTGATAGGAATATAACTGAAGCGCATCAGGTTCATACTGGCGGCAGTTATTTGTGTCAGGAAACAGGACAAGTGTTTCCTGAATCCTGTCATGGATCTATATCATTTTTATTGTTAAACTGCTTATCACACACACTCACACACACACACACACACACACACACACACACACACACACACACACACACGAGCTATTAAATATCTGACCAGATTCAAAAGCTGACGGGTTTTTACGCGCCCTAGGGGTATTTGTACGTGTATGTGTATATGTGTGTATGTATTTGTATATACATTTATATGTATGTATATATAAAATATTTTATATAAAAGCCTATCCTCGCCAGCCAAATCGGAAGAACTGTTAAAGACAGCTAAATATGTTGAGAAATTATATACTAGGAGAACTGTCAAGAGCTGTAAGATGACCACTATGATGAAGATCTGTGTAGTCTGCAGAATAAAGTAAGGGACCAAAACAAGCCTAGATTGCTTGCAATCTCTGTGGTCAATGGTCCCATGAATTTAATGCAGGGATTTTATACCAGTGACTACACTTGACATAAACACAGAGTGAAGTTTTTGGATCTGCCCAAACGAGATACGCCTATATGGGGAATTTACATCTATATTAAAAGACAGCAACACTAATGAAAGACATGTCAACATGGTATGACAACTGGGAAAATAAGATGGGTGTTTGGACGGAGCTGTCTTGGACGACAGTGCTCCTGAGGGTGCTAGTGTTATCCTGGAGGACAGTGAACCAAAAGGAGACATTGGCCTGGTGATGAAAATAGAGATAATAGAAAATAGAGATAATTCTGGAGATGGAGCAAAAGGGGATGATGCCTCAGGGAACAGTGTTGACACATTACCAGCAAAACCTGGTAGAAGCACTGATGTCCATACAGGGGTGACAGATAAGGAGGGAACAGAAAAAAATGCACCAGCAGCGAACAAAGAACTTTCACAGCACACATTAGTACGATAAGGCACCTAAATTACTGGGAACGGTTGAAGGTCCTTGATCTGTATTCCCTGGAATGCAGGCGAGAGAGATACTTGATAATATACACTTGGAAGGTACTGGAGGGATTGGTACTAAACCTGCACACGAAAATCACTCCCTATGAAAGCAAAAGACTCGGCAGGAGATGCAACATTCCCCCTATGAAAAGCAGGGGCGCCAAGAGTACTTTGAGAGACACCCTACGATCCCCGTTGGGGAGGGGAACACTGATTACTCACGATGCATTACTCTAACAGCCACGATGTGGTGGGACAATCAATGACTCGTCCAAACTAGCACTTGCAGCTGTCATCAGTGGCAGACTGCAGGTCAAATGTAATACGATTTTATCGCTCAAAGAGGCCTTTGTTGTCGTCTGCACTGGTGACACGGAGACCGAGAAACTACTTACCTCTACTTCTACCACCACTCTACGTGACCAGGGATTCCTTGTCTTGACTTCCCCGGCGCTGAGGGCCAGGAGAACTGTGTTCCTCAAGCGACTCGACAACCTCATCACTGCACAGGCCACTGAAGAAATCAAATCATCTATTGAAGCTAAGAATCCTTGGGCTAAGGTGGACTATATTACCAAAATACCCAACGCTTCATCCATGCTGAAGGTCACCTTCAGCGACGTCAACATTGCAGCCAGAGCTCTAGCTGAGGGCCTGGCTATCCACTACTTCCACATCAACCCAACTTTTATTGAAGAAGAAAAATTCCTGCAAATCCCACACTGCTACTCATACCTGCACACCACCAAAGACTGCACTGCCAAGGACAAAAAATTCTGTCCCACCTGTGGCCTAGAGGGTCACGATTTTAAAAACTGCACCACTGCTGCACCACGTAAATGCCTGAACTGCAAGAATGATCGCCATACTCTCGCAGCCAGATGCCCTACCAGAAGAGACATAGCCAAGAAACAACTCCACCAACAAAATAAACCCATCCCAGAAACAACCTCATATGTCACCAACATCGTCGTTGCTCCACCGCCACCTCAGTCCCCACCCAACACTGAATTGGCCCAACTAGAGTCCTCAGTGACCTCAGAAGAACACACCAATGAGAACCCACCACCACCTGCCTCCACCCTAAAGGCCACTTACCTATCAGAAACCACGACTCGCCCAGCACAGCACCCACCAACAACCACACCTGCATCCCGACCGACCCTCAAACACGACTTTGCCACGTTCTACACCACGAAATCATACAGTAGCGCCATGCCCTTCCCAGAACTCAGCCAACGACTCCAAGACAACACTGCAAAGTACACCGTTCACGGAATTTCACCTCCAACCCTTCAATCCATACTCGACATCCTCAACGATAAATTACACATCCACTCCAAAATGAAGGTAGTACACCTCTCAAGAGCAAAATTCAACGCAGTCAGGAACGGCTACGACAGCTCCACAGTCGAATTATCACCTACCAGCAACCATAGTCCCCCAGCACTTTGCTATTTAGATAAAGCTGAGATGTGGCTCCAAAACGACCCTGTTTTCCTGGGCACCACCAGCCAGCTCCTGCCGGGCACCTGAGTACCAGCCCTACTCTATTGACCCTGCTGCCACCAGCACATCTCGCTCCATCACAACCTCCTGCAGTACCTCTGCAACCCATGCTCCATAGTGGACGGGCCACTCACCTCTACAGCCCCACCTCTTACTCCACCCTCCCAACCTCTTCCATTTTTCCAGCCCTCCCCTCCCTCTTCCTTCCCATCCTCACCAACCCTCAGGTCAGAGAACTTCAACTTCACAATAAGTGTCCGGGGCCCAAGACTGTTCAACTGCCTCCCAGCATATGTAAGGGGGATTACCAGTAGACCCCTAGCTGTCTTCAAGAAGGCACTGGACAGGCACCTAAAGTCGCTACCCGACCAACAGGTTGTGGTTCGTACGTCAGTTTGCGTGCGGCCGGCAGTAGCAGCCTGGTTGATCAGCCCCTGATCTACCATGAGGCCTGGTCTCAGACCGAGCCGGGGAGGGCGTTGACTCCCGAAACCCTGTCCAGATAAACTCCAGGTAATTCACCTTAAACCAGCAAATAATAGAGCCAACAAGACGAGAAAATACACTAAACCTTATCTTCACTAACAATGATTATCTGATACACTCAGATCACAACATAACAGAGGTACAGATATGTATGCGCAGGTATCCTGACCAGTAAAATATGATCAGTTGTGAGGGTGCCTTCACCAAATTCAACTTCATTAAAAAAACAAAAACTAGGAACAAGTCAACCATCCCCTAAATGAAGCAAGCTGGGAAGACATTCTAAGCAACACTGATACGAGCCTTTGTCTAGAAACAATTAACTCTGTGGCACTTGAGGTCTGCTCAAGGCACATTCAATTAAGAAAAAGAAAGAGAAGATGTAAACTTAAAAGATAGATGCTTCCTATACATGTGAAGGCGAAGAATAGCAGAGCTGCTGAGAGGGGCCAGTATATCTGAATCACTGGTCGGAGAAATAGCAAATATCGAACTTAAACTTATGGAATCTTACAGGAGACAAGAATCTCAGGAAGAAATTAAAGCCGTAAATGAAATTGAAAGGAACCCAAAATACTTCTTTTCTTAAGCCAAACCTAAGGCAAAAACAACATCCAGTATTGCACACCTGCTTAAAGGAGATAGGACATACACAGATAACAGCAAAGAAATGAGTGAGATTCTAAAGTTTCAATATGACTCAGTGTTCAGCAAGCCGTTAACCAGATCAAGGATCGACAATCTAAATTTTTTTATGGCCGAGATTCAAAATTCTGTCAATTCCAAAATCTGTGACATTATCCTAACACCACTAGACTTCCAAAAGGGAATATGTAACATGCCCATGCACTCTACCCTAGGCCTGGATTCGTGGAACTCTGTGTTCATCAAGAAATGCAAAAGGCCTTCGTCACGTGCCTCTAGCATTCTATGGAGAGGGTCATCACACAGTCACTAAAAACAACAGACAGCCCCACTCAACAAAAGTGACAATAAAGCAATTGCAAAGAACGACAGAGAGATAGCACTAACGTCCCATATCATAAAAAGCTTTGAAAGGGTTCTAAGAAGCAAGATTGCCACCATCCTAGATACCCATCCATTATAACGGATGGTGCTCTAAACCTCTGTTGCCCTGGGTTGTGTTAGAACAGGTCGCTCTTGCCTCTCCTAACTAATGAACCATTGTGACAAGGTCCTGAATGCGCTAGAGGATAAACAAAATACAGATGTAGTATACACAGACTTTGCGAAAGCCTTCAACAAGTGTGACCATGGTGTAATAGCGCACAAAATGCGCGATAAAGGAATAACAGGAAAAGTTGATAGATGGATCTATAAGTTCCTGATAAACAGAATACAATGAGTAATAGTAAACAGAGTAAAGTCTGATATGACTACAATGAAAAGCTCTGTTCCATAAGGCACAGTACTCGCTCTCATCCTGTTCCTCATCATATTTGACACAGAGATGTAAACAACAGTATCATGTCTTTCTTTTATGAATAACACCTGAATTTTCATGACATACAGTATACCTGGACAGGGTTTCGGGTGTCAACACGCCCTTCGGCCCGCTCTGTGATCAGGCTTGAAGACAGCCAGGGGTCTATTGGTAATCCCTCTTATGTACGCTGGGAGGCAGATGAATAGTCTTGGGGCCCCAGACA